TTTCTCAGTGCTGACCACAAAAATCTATTAATCTCACTCATTCGCTGTCGCTCCCCCTCTCTCCCTCCCTCCCTCCCTCCCTGATTGCTTCACAGAAGACACGCTGATCTCGAGGCCAGATAGTAGCCACAACATTTAAGCCGACAGACATGGCAAAAAAGTGGACTAGCTTGCTCAGGAGCATGCAATGATTGCTGATACCTTGCCTATTCTGTTTTAGAGAAAGGGGACAGTTGAAAAGTCCAAATGCATATGGGTTTGCACTGCGAACGACTATCCGACAAGAAATAAGTATGCTAAATCAGCGATATCTTAGGGCTGCGATTCTGTACATACAGGAAAGTGCTAGTAATAATTACTTTAAGTGCCACAGAAAGTTCACAACTGAGGCGCACTGACTTTGTAGTTGTCAGGTTGGTCCTTGGTTAGTTCGAAATGGGCACTCGAATATGCAGTGAAGCTTGCCACATCTCAAATTGGTTACTTGGCCTGCTTGCTAAAAATAGACAAACGGACTCCGAAACCGCCACAAAGCCTCACCATTCGCGACTTTTAAGTTTACCAACCGACGAGGTAGCCTGTCTCCCCTCAGGCTGAATTTAAGGCTCCAATCGCTACTTCTTGATCTGGTCTTTACGTTAATTATTTTACTGGGTGCTCTGAAATCTCTGCCTCAAGAAACCAGCAAGTGTGGGGTTCGTGTAGACGTAGATCCGTCCCCGCCAACTACTGTGTTAAAATTTTACTTTCCGCTGTCTTTTCTTTAGTGGATGCGCGAGGAGAGGCGATGAGATATACATTAGAAAAGTCAATTTCCTCATTAACAATTCGCCACTACGCCCTCACAGAAAAAGGCTGACTTCGTTACTTATGATGGTTAAGCTATCCAGTAAACCATTACCGCGCTACGTTAAGTTCCGTCGCAAAGTAGGTTCCATTCAGTACGGACTGTGATATGTCCTTCCCGAGCAGAATGAATGCTCTTCAACCGGAAGGCTAGCATAGTTTGTCAGGAGTTGGGACATAATTGATGCAAAGAAGGGCAGTAATTTATCTGTTTCCTCTGAGTAATCATAGTCCGGGGCACTGGAGTACTTCCAACACCTGCAATGTGATTTTGTGGCCATGCACGGCCATATAATTGTTTTTTTTCGGTACCGTCCTACCTCAGTGCCTCTAGAAGATTCGCGGTACGCCTGGAAAGCGTTCAGAATGCGTACCCCCTTTAAAGCAGAACGCTGATCGTCAGCTGGTCGAGCGTTTCTATCATATGTTGTGAGGGGGGAGCAACTACAGCCAAGATCGATGGAAGCTAATTAACTGTAGGAAGGATTCTTGTTGCAATACCTTCAAAAATGGTCTTATTTACCCAGAAATGAAAAAAGCTTGTTGGAATATTTTGGCTTCGTTTCTATCTCGACCATCCTTGGTAGGTGCTATAGAAACTAAACCCACGCAACTACACAGCTCATGATAATTTTATTGCAATCTATAAAGTAAATCATATTTTTACAGGTATACCTTAGAATAGGACACTGATGACCGAATTCCGGCCATTAGACCTTTCGAATATTATGTTATTTGCAGTCGTTGTGGTTCGACTTTGAATGTTTATGAGTAACGACGCCAGTAGGGTTTCTTCAAGCGGTGTGGGAATTGTTTTTCGATTTGTTGGTTCCTCTATGCCGTCTCATCCAACCAGGAAAATTAAACTTGCCTTCTCGGTTGCATACTCATTTAAGCGACTCCAAAGCTGATAGACAAGCACTCACGTAGTAAAGAGGCTTACATGAAGAATGTAACAGCGGGAAATCAGTTGATGAATATCCAATATCCAACTGACATACCTAACCATTCACTACAAAATTCGTGGGTGAATTCCGGTGTCGCTTCTTTCATGTGCTTGAGCCAAAAAAGCGTACGGGGCATACTATATTACTAAAAGGGAAGCGCCCCAGAACCCGACAAGTAGAAGCCTTTTTTAAGCGACGAAATGTAAAAATTAGCTCCCTTTCGTTCATATGAAAACGCATGTAGCCACTGAACATAACACTAACAAAAAAGTATTATTTAGTTGATCTTTTAAAGAAGGGATATGTTTCCACTACGATCATGTGTGCTGAAAATTTGATACTTTAAATATTGACTAGCCCTACTACAGGCAAGTGGTCCAAAAGTGTTCATTCTAGTGGATTCTTTAGATGTCAGCTCACTCTAAAACTGCATCGGCCTATCCCAAAAATAAATGAACATTATGCTAAACTACCCCAGAGGTAGATTAAAAAATCGGTTACTGTTTAACTTGATCAAAGAATCTGCAGACATCAGCCTCAGTTCCCTATTTTTATTGGTCCCATTCTATCGCATTATTATTTAATCCATTTAGAAGTAGATTTTGCTAGTTTTTTTCACGTGTGCACTCTCAATCATAGTGAAATAAGACATCGTAAGGCAACCTAGCCATTTTAAATATAGTCTTTTGCTCCCCCCAGTTTCCGTTTTCGTTTAGATTTTCGTCCTTGTGAATTGTTTGTTAAGACCTTTCACATGTTACATACTTTTTTCCCTCATCATTATCAAATATGGTGCGTTCTTTGCATTATATGTCTATATTGTATACCGTAGGGGACTTAAAAGTTCTGCAGGTAAAGCTCAGACCGGTAAAAGTTAAGTTGGTCTTCCCCCTAGCCCGTATTCGTATGGTTACTTTTAGTTTTATTAGTTTTTGTTTTTAGTTAATCAGTTTGATTTTCGTTTAGTTTTAGTTTAGGTAGATACCGCCAAAGCTAGATAATATAATTAAATAACTACAGCGTACTAAACTAAAATAATTAAACTAAGCCAAAGTAAACAAAAGTAACCAAACTAAAAAGTAAACGAAACCCAAACTACAGTTAAACTAAATACTAAACTATAAATAAACTAACTTAATACCAACGGTCCCGTAAAACATAATTCTGGGTCTAGGGGTATCTAAGGTGAGTGACCAACTTAACTTCTACCCCCAGACCCTCAGTAGCATCATTCCAGGCTGGCTTCGGCAGTTGTGGTTGCCGGCTTTTATACGTTTTGCATTGAGCAGTGCACCAAACAGAGCGAGCGATAACTGCCAGTGCAGACACCTCATCTGGCGATCATAAATCAACCAACTGACCGCCGCGGAGAAGACTAGGTGAAATTAATCGTGTGGTCAAGCAGGTTTGCTCAACGCACGCGGCTGAGGGGTTAGCACAACAATCAAGTGAATATTTTAAGACTGCATCTAGACCTGAAAATCGAGCAGCAGCAGCAGAAAAAAATCAAACAGAGTTGGATCTTTCTCAGCAATCCAGCTACAGGCCACAGTAGAGCGAATGCCAGGGCAGGTGGAGGCCTTGAAAATAACCTTCCACTCACCCTTGCGTCTAAAGTTTTCGTGCGTTTTAACTGACTGCTGGGCGAGCGCGAAGACTTGGACAAGATGTGGTGGGATGTGGACAAGTGGCATACAATAACAGACGCTGAAAAAGTACACCCTGGGGCATGGATCCCCGTAGCTCAGTTGATACGAGAGGCTATAGTCCAGGGTAAAAATGGATAATCATTATCCTTAACCCGCCAACTTCTCACTTGGAAAGATTGCATGGTGATTTGGAATAACCATCTGCAATGAACACAGAACAACCTCCAACCAAGTGTTTTTGGAAAAAGTGTCCAAATTCTAAAGTGAACGCCCCCATTTTACAAATTATGTGCATAATCAGTCAAGCGTACATTAATGCTATTGACAATGGGCAAGTTACGTAATGCCACTGGGGAAACTTTAGTGCATTACAACCCTAATTCTTCATCTTTTAACCTTTATGGAAAACGCTAACTTAATCCTATCCTTAAACCTATCTCTTAACCCAACATTAAAATCCTAGCTCTAAACCTGAAACCATAACATGAAACCTTCACCCTTAGTCCAACCCTAACCATGAACAAAAAACCCCCAATGCCAGCCTCGACCCCAAATTTGAATCATCACCCAAGCCTGGTTCTAAGAACACCTAAACTCCTAACACCAACCCAAACCCTAATCTTGGGCCCGACACCGGCCACTCTAACGTCATTGTCGTTAGGGGAGGTCAAAACCCGCCAATCGAATAATCCTTTTCACAACCTATTGCCAGAACAAGAACTATCTGAATCACACCTATCTAAATAAGAGGGTGGTTTCTGAACCAATGTCCAGTGGGGTTGCCTAACATGCACTTTAGTGAAGAATTCAATTCTGTATTTGGGCAATTATTTAGTTTGGGCCTCAGGTGGAGTACTGAATTTCGTACTTTTAGAACAGCTTAGTAATGTTTAAGGTCTCACATCAGAACACAATTCTCTGTTCGATTAAGCGATACCAACTCTATTACAACGTCATAGTTGTCCAGTCCATAGGCTTCGTCAACTAATTGTACAAAGTTCCCGGACTAACATCAAGACTTTCTCAAATTACACAGATGCGGGAGCATAGTCCTGGCCGAATCCAGTGCAAACAGAATTCGTAGAGCCACGATTATTTCTAGGTTAATTCAGAGGCCAGAAGCTCAGACACGAATTTCGCCTGTATACGAACAGGTTAGCCGACTGTAAGGAATTCAGCTCAATACAGGTTCTAGTGAGGTTTTCAGTGAGGGACATTGTAAAAACTGAACGAATGCAAACATAGATTTATGTTCCAGATATGTCTTTCTGACCGCGGCTTCAACCTTCATGAAGTTAATTAATTTCAATAGTTAAGGCTAGTAGGTTCTTAGAACAGGACTTACACCGGGTTATTTGGCAGTAGCCAGCTTATGTCCTTACTTCCCAGCAGACGGACCATACAATCCTCAATTGGCAAACTGCGTGATTCTGCGTGACTCTGCTTAACCCATTATCCGTATTCTGTCGAACGGAGAAATTATTCTAGACCGCAAAATTGTGCTATTCCAAACAACTGGTCAACATGTTTGTGCTGTTATTTCTCAGACTCTGGTAGTTGTTCAAGGCCAAAGTTCACATAAAAGTCGCACTACCCCTATTCATTGCACAAAGAACTCTGAACTTATTTGAATATTCAAGAGCAGAACTGGTTGACCGATGTCTACCTCACTTTTGTTAAGAATAAACACAACGGACACCAATGACTCAAAGTTCTTCGGGCCAAGGCGATTTGAACCGATCGTTTTCGCTTCCCAAAGGCAACAGCCTACAGTTGAAACGATTCCATAAAAACAGGAAGCAGTTTGTGCATGCGTGTATGTGCCCCCTATACGGGCCACGTGGTAGATGCGTTGTACCACACGCAGGACAGATCAGGGCACGACAGGCCAAAGTTAGAGGTAGCAACCAATACCGCGTCGGTGAAACACATCTATAAACATGCACAAAACATCAACTTGCTTCCCCTCTGTGCCGTTTTACCTACCGTCTTGATAGAAGAGGGTAAACGGGGCCACTAATTATCCTCTTGTCCTAGAAAAGCGGGAATACGCAGATCATGGTGAAACAGGGATCCGACTCAACCCCACAGTCGGCATTGGCGACCTTCGATTCAGGCAAGATACGACATGTATTGAGAACTGTGTCCAGGACTCTCTAGTCTCTGGAGACGGGAATTCGAAATTGCTACTCTAAACCTTGGACAAAAATAAATCTCGTCTGGCGAGCATCTCCTTTTCTTGTGACAACATAATATTATTAATTTTCAGGCGGAACTACATGGCGTCTCCACCAAATGTCATAGATCACGTTAACAAAGAAACAATTTTGATATTCAAGCTCACTGCGTGAGGGTAGTAGCAGTTTCAAGACAATCACCCGTTATCAGTAGGTCCAAGCGGCTTCACTCGCAAAGACGTCACTTCGACCAACCAAGGGCACCCATTACTATCTCAGGAGCCGTAGATTTGTCCATTTATCATGCTATTTGTAGCCCTCCTTGCGTATGCATTTTGGTCTACACCTGATAAGCCGAGGATATACAAAGTCGATTGCGCAAACAACAGTTGAGTACAGCTGCTTACGTCGGAGTAGATGCAGCAAATTTCACGTGCAACATTGTACAGTGCCTATTATTGCCGCTA